CATCAGAAAATCAGTATACCCATCGTTATTCAAACTGGCTAAAGTTATACCAGTTTTTAAAAATAAAGGTTCAAAAAATGATGTATTTAACTATTGCAATTTTACCATTACTATCTAAGATCCTAGAGCGACACGTAAAAACTCATTTGATGAATTTTCTAAACAAATATAATCTATTGTATGTCATGCAATCAGGCTTTCGTGCACACCATTCCTGTCAAACTGCTATGACGTCTTTGTTAGATAAATGGTTAAAAGCCATTGACGAAGGAAATTTAGTAAGGGCAGTATTTTTGGATCTGTGTAAAACTTTTTTTTTTTTTTTTTGTGTAAATCCATTAATGGCCAACATATTAATGAAAGTCACTGTGAAAAAGTCCTTGGTATTTTTGTTGACGCCACTCTTTCTTGGTATGATCAAATTAATCATATAATCAAAAAAGTTAATTCTTCATTAGCCTTATTAAAAAGAATCAAGAAATACTTGAATCATAATGCACGAATTCTATTTTACAATGCGTATATTCTTCCACATTTGGATTACTGTTGTTCAGTATGGGGAAACTGTAACAAGTTTTTAGTTGGCAGTTTACTAAAATTGCAAAAAAAGGGCAGCTAGAATTATTTAAAACGAACACGATATTCGTAAACCATCTATTGAACTATTTAAGGATTCTTGAATTATTCCCGTTACCAAGAAAAATACTTTACCACAAGTCATTATTAATGTATAAATCAAAACATGAACTTGCACCAAAATATTTATCAAATCTTATTGTGCCTACAAATAGTAAACAATCGTACAAAACTCGACTTTCATCATCAGATAATTTTATTGTCCCTAAATCAAAAACAGAATTATACAAATCAAGTTTTTCTTTTAGTGGTCCAAAAGTGTGGAATTCACTATCCAGTGAAATTAAAAAATCAAAAACTATATCTGCATTCAAATTTTAAAAGTGTGAAATTTATAAGGTAAGCAACTGTGTATACTACAGGTGTTTTTGTTTTTGTTTTTTGGTGTTTGTTATATTTGTGTATATATACATCTATTGTTTATATGTGTGTAATAGTAGATTAATGTTTTATTCATGTAGTTTATATTGAATGTAGAGAGCCTTATTGAAAATTGGTTTAATCCAAATGAGTTACTCTCTTTAAATAAAGATATTATTATTATTATTATTATTATTATTATTATTATTGCTTTGTTTTCGTGTCTCCAGTGTTGGTTATTGGTTTTTGGAGGTGGGATTACCCTATTAGCGCGTGTGAACCCGTTTTTGCGCTCGACTGATACCCTGTTACTTATTCGTTCGTTATTCGCTTTTATACATTTCATCTTTTAAATGTTTTCTTTTCTTTTCTTGTCTCTTGTGATAGTTCTTGGTCCGAAGAGGTGAAATTACACTATTAGCGCGTGTGTACCCGTTTTTGCGCTCGACTGATACCCTGTCACTTATTCGTTCCTTATTCTCTTTTTATACGTTGCATCAATTTTTTCTTTTCATTTCTTTTTTTTGTTTCTGGTGCTAGGTCATCTTTCGTAGAGGTAAAATTACCTTTCAAGCGCTCATGTTACCGTTTTTGCGCTGGACTGATACCCTGTTACTTATTCGTTCCTTATTTGCCGTTTATAATTTGCATCTTTTTAATGTTTTATTTTCGTGACTCCGGTGTTGGTTCTGGGTTCTTAGAGGTGATATTACCCTATTATTGCATGTGTACCCGGTTCCGCGCTATAATGATACCCTGTTACCCTATACATCGCACCTTTTTAATGCTTTATAAAAAGCGAATAAAGAACGAATAAATAACAAGATTTCAGTCGCGCGCAGAAACGGGTACCTAAGCGCTTTAAGGGTAATTTCACCTCTACGAATCACGAACTAACACCATAGACAAAAAAAAAAGAAAGCATTTAAAGGATGCAACTTATAAAATGCGAATAAGAAACGAATAAGTAACAAGGTATCATTACAGCGCGGAACCGGGTACACATGCGATAATAGGATAATATCACCCCTAAGAACCAAGAACCAACACCGGAGTCACGAAAATAAAACATTAAAAAGGTGCAACGTATAAACAGCGAATAAGGAACGAATAAGTAACAGGATACCAGTCCAGCACAAAAACGGTAAAATGCGTGCTTAAAAGGCAATTTCACCTCACGAACAATGACCTAGCACAAGAAACAAAAAAAGAAATAAAAAGAAAAACATTAAAAAATTGATATAACGTATAAAAAGGCGAATAAGGAACGAATTAGTAACAGGGTATCAGTCGAGCGCAAAAACGGGTACACACGAGCTAATAGTGCAATTTCACCACTTCGAACCAAGAACTATCACCAGAGACAAGAAAAGAAAAGAAAACATTTAAAAGATGAAATCTACAAAAAGCGAATAAGGAACGAATAAGTAACGAATACGTAACAGGGTATCAGTCCAGCGCTGAAACGGTGACATGCGCGCTTAAAGGGTAATTTTACCTCTACGAACCACGAACTAACACCAGAGACAAAAAAAAAGAAAAGAAAGAAAGCATACAACGGTGCAACGTATAAAAAGCGAATAAGTAACAGGGTATCAGTCATGCGCAAAAACGGGTACATATACGTAAATAGGGTTATTTCACGTCTTCGAACCCAGAACTAAGACCAGAGACTAGAAAATAGAGCATTTAAAAATGAAACGTATAAAAATCGAAAAAGGAACAAATAAGTAGCGAATAAGTAACAGGGTAGCAGTCGACCGCGGAGTCGGGTACATACGCGCACACAGGGTAATTTAAACTCACCGAACCCATAGCTAACATCAGAGACAAGAAAATAATAGAAAAGAAAGAATTTAAGTGCCAATCTGCCTAAGAATCAGGCAGTGGTGAAAACATGACAAACAAAAACCCACTCATGTTGACATTAATTTATGTTCAAATTGTATAATGATCCTGTTCTGGTAATTCAAGATATAATTTGGTTTCAAAATTGCCTGATTCTTACAAAGACTGGCACTTAAAAGTTGCATCGTATAAAAGGTGATTAAGGAACGAATAAGTAGCGAATATGTAACAAGATATCAGTCGAGCGATTACAGGGTAATGTCGCCTTTACGTACCAATAATTAACATCAGGGATTAAAAAAGAAACGAAAAAATCATTAAAAAGGAGCAACATATTAAAATATAATAAGTTGCAGGTATCAATCGGGCGTGGAAGCGGGTACATTCGCGCTGACAGGTTAATTTTACCTCCTCGAACCAATATCTTACCTCATAGTAAAAAAAAGAAAAGAATAGTAAGGGGGCAACATATCAAAAATCTAAGGAAAGAATAAGGAATAAAGTAACGAATAAGGAATAAGTAACGAAAAAGGAATAAGGAATAAGTAACGAATAAGGAATACGTTACGAACTTGACGACTCTTTCTATGGGCATGTACAATTTTAACATGTATCTTCTATGGGTCGACATGCACTTCTACTGTTAGTTCGGTACAATCAATATACAATATTAGGTCAAAGTCAGAAAAATATAAACTTTTTTGTATGAGGCTGAGAAACTGGGGAAGGGCGAGGTTGTGTGCCGAATACAAAAAAGTTTATAATTTTACGACATTGACCTTATATTGTTTTTATACTGCAACTTAAATTATTACATTGATAGCTATTTAAATTGTAACACAAATGTCAAACTTATTTTCATCCCTTAATGAACCCCTGTTTGTAGAGAAAGTGTTCCATGATGAAATTGACATTGCACAAAATATAGCTGTGTTACTATATTTAGGAAATAAACACAACTAGTTGCAGGATAAAACAGCTGTAATTCCTTAGAAGCGGCGCATATCCAAAATTGTCAACCATACAAATGTATTTCACGTCGGACTGCGCCTTTTAGCTTTATTCAAACCTTCTATGGGTCATTATTGCATATACTCAAAGAAAAAGTATTGTAACATATGAAAATTAATATTACTTTAAAATGCATCAAACTTGTTAAAATCTAACACTTCGTGTAATTTACACTTCGATTTTCTGACACCTATTTGAACTAATAATCGGAAGTTAAAATGATGTATAGGACCGGTTAAAATTGTGTATTCGCCGGTTTTCCGTATTAGACGTATTAAATGGACAATTTATAATGTATTATGGGTCATTCATTGGTTAATAATAGGTTTTACCTCTCGTGAAAATTTGATATCGCTTGATATCGCTCGTTTATTATCATATTGAAATAAAGGTAACTCGAGTTGATATCAAGCGCGCGCGATTTCAAATTCTCACTCGTTAAAACTATTGTATAAATATCCGCTACGTTTGATTATAGTTGTCATTTTATTTGTACAAATTCCTGATTGTTGACAGAGAATACATCATCATAATATATATGATCTGCAGGTATTGTTGAAATATCTGGTAAAACGGTGTTTCGTTGGGTCTAATATTACATGTCGATGTCCGGAAGAAATGTATACTCTAGCAACAGTTCTAAAGACGAAATAAAGCTGCCACAGACTCAGTAAAAGATCACGAAATAAGTTAGTATCATGCAGAACTTTACTGAATCATGAAAATAAGGTCATGGGGAATAGACATTAGTCGAAAACGTCGAAGAATATGGCAACTGAATTCAATATCAAGAAAATCCAATGATATACTTTCTGAAATATATAGCTTCCTACCAATATATAAATATTTAACGTTAAATATTTAGCATTTAGTAGTCTACATTCTGCTGCAATGAGACAATGAAACGTTCTAGAATTCAATACCAAAAACCAACAAAAGTCGAAATAAAATAGAATCGACTTTTCCTTTTGAAATTACTTTCTTATTTTTACTACAATAACATAATTTATAAATAAAAAATGTAGTCACTGTGTATATTTCAATCATACAGATATCAAAGTAATTAAACGTCTCTTTAGTACTACCTTGAAAACGTCTGGGGAACAGAAACTCGTAAATTATCTATCTAATAAGGCAAAACCTACCTCTTCTTTCGTTTATATATCTGTTTACAAACAAATCGGGACGATCGGAAAAAACAGCATCTCTCTCGACAAACGCCTCTTTCAAATTGTCTAGTCCACAAATAACAATTACCCATTTAGTTCCGAGTGACAAACTGAAAATATCTCCAAATTCTTTTCTCCAATCCCGAAATGCACCAACTAACGTCTTATGTCCGACAGTACGCATGTTTCCAATGATAGGATAAAATTTGGGACCAGGAGGAAGATCGTGCGGTCTTCTCCAGCGGAGTACAGTGTAACACAAAGATACAATAAGAATTAATAACGCAGATACATAATATGTTGGTTGTATACACTGAAGAAATACGGAAATAACCTTCATCTTACTAACACAAAATCATGATTCGAAATGTAGTTAAAAACATTGTTGTGCGTTAGGTTTACGGAAATTATTGTAGAGTGAACACGTGTGTCTATCGTTCTCATTTGTGTCCTTGACGCTCACACTGTTGTGTGTAGGGTTCATTTAAATATACGCATTATAAATGTATAAATGTACTTCAAATTTATTTGTAAACATCTTTTTTGTTAAAAACATATTTTGCTCTGATTCAGTGTGCATCTGTTATGCATTATAAGGTAACTAGTGCATGTGTACCTATAAAAAAGAGGCATTGAGAGAAATATTGATTTAAATTTGGCATCGAGTGCAAGCAGCGTTCTTTTCAAATGTACTGAAATGATTCAAAGTACTTCAATTCTTGTCATAACAATCCATGAGTCAACTTATCATAATGAAATATTACATCTTTTTTTTTTTTTAATAATATTGCATAATTTAGCAAAAGTATTAAATATATGATTAAAACAATGAGAATCTATGCTAAAATGCTAAGTAGAAAAGTTGTATAAAATGTTGATTGACTGATTGATTTCTTGATTGTTGTTTGCTAAATATGCAGCGTAAAATATTTCATTCATATCCAATACGTAAACAAAATAATTATCTGAATCAAAGGAAGGGAAGAGCAAACTGTTTTGCCAAACCATTAATATTGCGATAATCCAAGCAAAGACGAATGTCATGATCAAGTTAATCAGACATGAAAGTCAATAAAACACCGAATTTTGTTTGATGCCCATACTAATTTAATTTCTCGTCAGTGGTGCTCACAGTCACCAAAAACAGGAAATCCGAAAGTATTTACAAAAATTAAAAAAAAACCAAAAGAATAACATCAAAATGAAGCAACGGCTAGTAGGGATACCTTTGCATTTAAATGTAAACCTTAAAATTTACTCAAGTACCTGCTTTTTGAAAAAATTAAATGGATATTTCTTAATTTTCATTATCAAATTAAGATCATGACAGTATACGAACTAGTTATGTGACAAACGCTGTGAATATTACACAAACATTATATTCACATACAGTCGATCATCTTCGGTTTAAGTATGGCAACATTAAAAACAAGTTGCTTCTTTAAATAAAGAAAAGCAAGACGTGAACCCAATGCCGCTGACTGGTCACCAAAAAATTGTTGCTGAATATTTTAGCTTTTCATTTGAAATAATTGACTGTGACAAGAATAAGGTAATGATGATGTTAAAACACCTTTCTGAAAATATGCATTTGTTTGCAGATTAGTACCAAAAAAAAAACAATTAAAACCCTGTTGGATTTTGGTTGTAAATAGAAAAGTGTGTACAGCTAACATTTGAATTTACATTCTAAGACTTGACCATCTTATTTAATTACTTGGGAGTGTACATATTTCTTTCTTCGTGTTTAATATACAAATTCCTAATCCTATTGCAATTTCAAGTTCCTGCAAACCGGATGTCTAAAGCAAATCGATATATAAATTACAGCACTCAGTTTGCTTTATAATCTGGATGAATTTATTTTATCTTTCATATCTTCATGTTTGTTTCCTGGATGTCTTCAATTATATTCTTATACTCGTAGTTGTGTATATAGAGAAATCGTAAGTCTAATTTCCATGTGAAGTATAATTATGTGTCATACAAATTATTATGTTTCGTATTTTGTTCTTAAGAGTAACACACCAGCTTCTTTAGGACCTCTTATATACTGACAATTATTTTACAAGAAAAACTTAGTTTTTAAGTACATTGTATATCTTGTTTTCAGAAGTTTTATGAATACCCGGACATGCTCTCAATGGAACCAATTTATATAAAAAGATACTAAAGCATCTGGATTTGACATGTTAAATCCAAGGTTATTAAAAGAAGCTTCATCGGTTATAAAATATCCTCTTTGCAAATTATTTAATATGTCGTTAAGGAAAGCTGAATTTCCGAGTCAATGGAAAAAAGCTCATGTCATACCTGTCCTTAAAAATAGTTCACCAAACGAGGTTAAAAATTACCGACCTATCTCTCTTCTTAGTATCTTATCAAAATGCATGGAACGCTGTATTTATAAACATATTTGTAATTACTTAAGACAGAATAATATTCTAACGCAAAACCAGTCCGGCTTCACCAGGGGGGACTCTGCTGTAAATCAGTTATTAGATATTTCGAATGATTTTGGAAAAGCTTTGGATAGTGGCAAAGAAATACGTGTTGAGTTCAGTGGCATAAGTAAGGCATTTGATAGAGTTGGGCATAATGGTCTTCTCATTAAATTACAGAGATATGGTATATCTGGAAACTTACTTAAATGGATAGAAAATTATTTGAATGGAAGGTCTCAAAGAGCAGTTATAAATGGTTCAAATTCTGACTGGTTGTCCACTAATGCTTGTGTTCCACAAGGTTCTATATCAGGTCCTCTTATGTTTTTTGGTATTTATTAATGACATAGTCACTGATATCAAAGCTCAAATTAAGCTTTTTGCTAACGATACAAGTCTATATTTAACTGTTGATAATCCAGTAGGAGCTGCCGAAATTCTCAATAGCGATTTGAACAAAATTCACGAAAGGTCCCAGAAATGGCTTGTAAAATTCAACCATAAGAAAACTGATACCATGATTATTTCCCGTAAAAATGCAAAACTTTATCACCCACCTTTAAAAATGAATAACGAAGAATTACACGTAGTCGAAAAGCACAAGCATTTAGTATTATTTTCTAATAATGGTTCATGGAATGTACATGTTGATTATATTGTACAGAAATCTTACAAAAGACTTAATATTTTAAGGAAAATAAAACACACTTTAGACAGAATGACCTTGGAAAAAATATATATATCGTTTATAAGACCTATCATTGAATATGCTGATATTATCTGGGATTCAGGAAATCAAACTTTAATGGATAAACTCGAAAACATCCAGTTGGACGCCGCTCGTATAGTTACAGGGGGCCAAACTCACAAGTACTTCGATGTTATATAAAGAAACCTAATGGGAGAAACTTTCAGATCGAAGAAGTAATCACAAATTAATACTGCTTCATAAAATTGTTAATAACAAAACCCCAAAATATTTGCAAGAGTTATTGCCTGGATATGTCAGTGGTCGACACGACCACAGTACAAGACAAAGTAATAATCTATTAGAGGTGAAAACCCGTACAAAACTTTACTCACATTATTATCTTCCGTCTTCCATCAAATTATGGAATCATCCACCATTAAGTGTAAGAAATTGTGAATCGCTCTCTATATTTAAGAAACATATTTGTAATCAGAACGATCGAGTCCCTTTATACTTTTATGCTGGATGTCGAAAAGGCCAAATCCTTCATTCGCGACTAAGAATGAATAGTAGTTCCTTAAACTGTCACTTGTTTCCAAGAAACTTAGTTTCTTCTCCTCACTGTCGCTGTGGTGACCTGGAAACTAATTCACATTTTTTATTATTTTGTCCATTATATTCGGACATAAGACAAAAAATGATAATATCATTTGGAAACCTACAATTAACAGTACCAATGGTCACCGAATAACTATTAAACGGCTCAAATATGATTTCAATTGAAGAAAACATTAGTTTATTTCTCATGGTACAAAGGTTTATTATTAAATCTAAAAGGTTTACAAACTAATAACTCACACAACATACCTGTAAGCATTTCATCTTATCAGTTGCATTTTTCTTTTCTTCTTCAGTTCATTATGTTATGTAACTCAACTGACATTATCAATATTTTTATTATGTAACAGAGCATGTATTTTTAATTTATTTGAGTACATTGTATCTGATTTATAACAAGGAGACAGATTGACATAAGCACTTGTTGCTTGTTTCTGAATCGTTTTGTGAATTTAAATATATACTGTAATTGTATAATTCATAATAAAATATTGTTTACACTAAAAGATACTAGAAAAAACCCGCGCTAGCTGGGAATGAAGACTACTTTGAATGTTTATGGTGATACACAGCTTGGGTTGGTGTTTCTCAAACTGTTTTATGCACTGATGCATTATATTTTTATTAGTTTGTCGGTTCTTCTTCCATAGAAGTTTGAACGTCTAATTAGTAGCTTCTGTCTCGGTGTTACATTTTTTTATCGAAAGGTGCGAGTCAAGTTCTGTCTCTGTGTGATACGGGTGCTCCAAGAAGGGAGGAAATAACTCAGAGAAGAAGAAGACAATCTAGAGCTCTCTGATGATTTAAAACATTTCTTCAGTGGTTAGAGTTTGTAGTATTATTTTTTTTTTGAATGGTGCGAGTACTGTCTCTGTGTGACACGGGAGGAATTTACTAAGAGAAGAAGAAAACAATCTAATGATTAAACACTTTTCTTCGAGTTTGTTATATTTCTTTTATTTTTGAGTGGTGCGAGTTTGATAAAGTGATGCAAGTTGAAATAATTAGTGAGAGTGTTTGAGTGGTGCGAGTTGGCTGTGGGCCGAGTTGTCGGGCAGTACGTCGACTGAGCATGCGCGAAAGCATATAAGACACGGATCGATAACAGTCTCCAAATTTGGATATTTTCTCAAAAATTGGCGTTTTCTGTGGAAAAAAGATTGTTTGAAAGACAAATAGGAAGTACAAAACACTACATGTATACGTCATATCACAAATATTTCCGACTTTGTATGGTTTCAGAGGAGTTGCGGCTCAATGAAATCGGTCGCTTCCTTTAGTGGTATACTGAGATGTTTGGTAAAAGTCAATTAACTAATCATAGATACCAGGATTAAAATTTTGTGCACCAGACGCACATTACGTCTACAGTAGACTCACCAGTGACGCTTTAATCGAAAAAGTTAAAAAAGGCCAAATAAAGAGCATTGGAGCCCCAACTGAATTCCAAAAGGTTTTGCCAATTACAGCTAAGTTAACCTATTCCTGGGTTAGAAAATCTTTAGTATTTCGAAAATTTCAAAGTTTATAATTGGACAAACATTAAAAAAAAAAGAAATGAAAAACATCTAGAGGTCAGAATACCTTAATGATGTCAAGCTCTTCTTGTCGTGTCCTAAATTTAGTTTAAGAAATGCAAAAATTTACATACCGTGAGTGAACTTAATATTTATAGATGCACTTGCTTTTCTTGCGCAA